TCAATATCCACCACTTCTCGCGCAACCAACTTTGTAAGCGCGCGAGCAAGTACTTCATGGAGCGAAGGCCTATATTCAGCGATATGCCTCCCAAACTGCTCTACTGCTAGGTCTATTTCAGCTTTTTGATCAATGGCATCTTGCAATGCCGGCGTAATGTGTGCATGAATGACCTCTTGAATGGCGTCTAGTTCGGCGTAATCTTCAATGCGCTTGATGTCACTTAGGTCTATGGAATCGTGGGCTGAACCTGCCCCCTCCAACGCAGCTAGACTTGAAAGTTTCGCCAAAGAAAGCTCGACACGGTGACTCCAGAGGTCAGGTTCGCGCTCGATGGCCAATTGTGTTAAACATTCAGCAGCAGTGCCGTAGTCATTTTCACCAACAACATCATTAATCCAACTCAATCGTTGACGTGTTGGATTCTTGCGTAAAAACCGAGTGATAAATGGCTGGAACTTTCTCATGGCAAATAATACACCGGACTGACCCATTGAAATCTGACGGGAGAAAAAAGCATTTGCCCAAGATTCACCAAATTTTTCGAAATAATGAGAGATTTTGCTGCCGAGTTCACCAGATTCTTTGTCGAGAACAGTATCGGGGCCATCTGAATTGATTTCGGAGAAAAGCTGGCATTTCGTCTGGTCTTGAAGTTCAATTATGAGCTCCACCAATGCACTCATATCTCGGAATTTCTCCGCCAAACTTATGGCACTATCAAGCTGTCCAATACCGGCTAACTTGAATAATTGCCACCTGCGCTGTTTGACATGTGACTGCTCAGCCGAGACAATCTCGTCCATTGACTTAGGGTCCTCTTGAGACGAAAGCCATCGAATTCGCTCGCCATGCATTTGGCTCAAGACACGAAGTTGTCTAGCGCAGTTTTTGGCGATGTCTTCTACAACCTCATTTGGCGGCGCGTCGACAATGGACATTGTTTGTTGGATCCAGGCCATACAGCTCCCCAACTCCAGATCTAACAAGTGCCCAGTCTCAACATAGGCAATATTATGGGACGTCCACGGCTCTGGTAAATTCTCGTAGCCGGCCACCAGAATACCATCCTCCAAAAACTCTTCGTCCAGGCCGTAGAGACTAGCGCGCTCATCTCGAAACCGGAAAGCTGTTTCCAATACCGCGAGCGAAAACTCACTCGCTTGGTATATTTGCTCCGCCATTCTTCGTCCTTGCTTTGATTGGCCTTTCTGGGTTTTTATGGCATTAAAAATCCATGGGATGATATGCTCCATTCTGTGCGTGTCGTGAAGGAACCAATGTCGAACATAATCACTATCACCATGTCGCGAATCGAACTTCGTTTTGAATTTTTCACTCATCTGATGGATGACACGAGACAAGAAAGTTGGCTCGTCAGCGTTCTTTCTTCTCAATTCCCCCTCTATCTTCCACATAGCTCTCTGCGCGGCGAGCTTTTCGGCTCCCCATATTAATTCCGATCGAGTTAGACTATTGAAGGGCAAGCCACGCTGGGTAAGCAAAGATGCGAGATCATCGAGGGCCTTTGCTCGTGATCGTAAATTCTGATCAAGTGGGATGCCAGACGATGGAATGTATTTGGAACTTGACCGCAGTAATTCCCTGCAAATTTCGAGAGCCGCTTGTTCCAATTCATCGACAGAAAAATCCAAGCCTCCCTTGCTGGCCAAATTCAACGGATTTCTTACCATAGTTCCATAAAACACAGCCTGTTCGAGTTTATGTTTGGCTGTTGTCACGTGTTCTTCGCCGGTACCGTTTTGAGCGCGCCGGCGAGGCACAGCTGAGACGCGGACAACACCAAAACCTCTAACCATTAGAAAACATGCAGGTAATGGATTGTGGTAGGTTGTCTCCTCAAAACCGCTGCCCAGTAATTCATACTCGATGCCAGATCGAAGATCGATTCTATCACAGAAAAGCGAAGGCAGTGGATGCGAGTCTTGCGGCGCTGTTCTGTCATCAAATTGGGCCAACGACAATACAATAATGGATTGCCCAATAACGACAAAACCCGTATCGCCGGGTTCCGAAACAAACAGACGCAGTTTTGATTGATTTGATCGTGTATGATGCAAGTTTATGATGCGAGTTGACAACACACGTCCATCGTCAGATAAGATCATTCGAATTACCCATAGGCTTGTGGGACTAGATCCTTGCGGTAGTTCCACAACAAAGTAAAGTGACCATTTTTCTGTCTCAGAGGCCTGTGATCCGCGAACATTACTGTCATTGCCAGCACCAGAAGCTAAGTCAAGAATCTTGAGGGCATTGTCACCAGATTCATCCGTCAAGTTTGGACCAAGAGATTCGGCTAAGTGCTGCCTGATGTCGAATTGCTTTGTCAAGATGCTGCCGTTGCTCCAGTGTGTATCCCAGACTTCCACAAGGCCGCTTGTCGTAGCAATCATGATATCACGTTGACCACGTTGACGAGAAACGCCCGGTCTGGCCGCAGCAATCTCTTTTCGCCAAAAGCCGCCCGCCAGAGCGTTCTTAATACCGCCCAGGAACCCCATGCTGCCACTTGTCGAATTCTGTAGAAAATTAGAAGCAATTATCGGCTTCCCCTGGGAGCTCCTGACAGTTATCTGTGCCACTCTTCCTGATGAAAGCGTTGCAATAACACCAGACGGTTCTCCGTTAACTACCTCGGTGACATGTTCCCCATACAACAAGCCTGAGATAGAACCCTGAAGTCCATTCTGTTTATGTCTGGATAGTGCTAATGATGTAGCACTCGACACGGTTTCCCAGTATACAATTTTTCCGGTAGAAGGTATAATCACCATTAAGCCCGGAGGGCCGGCTGTAGCAGTCGATAGAAGGACCCCGAAAGGTGCTTCTGCGGTAGTATCTCTACAGGACTCAGGTACTGATAGACTGAAAACTTCAGCCGGAGAGGGTGACGAAGCAGAACTCGAGTAAGGCCAGATGATAGCATGTGATTGTGTCAATACTAATGCATATCCGTAGCCGGTGCCAAAGGAGCACGTGAAATGCCCTGCTGATTGCGTTAGCAATGGATATATTATGCAAAGGGATCAGTGGCGTACCTGATTGGAATTCGCGTATTTGTTCTGGCAAGGCAGGCAATTGTGAAACTGTGTAGAGATTTGTCCTTGACTGCACATTCAGTCAATAACGATTATAATCTGGAGAATTCAGGAATATGGAAAGACAAACAAAAATAACCGATCCATCGATGTCATTATCATCATCTCGCTTGTCAGATTTTTTTGGTCCTCTGATCGCAATCTGTTTTTGGGCCCCTGTATTTTCTGTAGTCTCAGGTTTGGCTTTATCCGATTCAGACACCCCCAGGCCGACGGATTCATATTTATAGTCGTGCTCGATCCTATCATTCTCTAACCCAGACTCGACATTTTCCTGGGCAGATCGCTGCCTCTTGGCTTTGTGTTGTTTGATGGATTCGCCGGAACTTGTTCGCTGACGTCTTCGCGAACTGCGCAGAGAAGCGGTCGCTTTAGGTACGAACATCGCGTCGACCCTGGAAAGAATGACTGCGAAATTAAACCGCCATTCAAATGATATTATCCCAGCACATAGAACCTGGCATTTGGGATCGGAGTCGGTTATCGAGCGGAACGAAATTCCAATAATAAGTGTATCTGAATTATTTTCAAGGTACTTGTACGGGTTGAAATTGGGGAGCTGTGCCGAAGGCGGTGAGCGTTAAACTATGAATACTCATACGGATTCTGACTTATACAAGGGCAACAATCCAACATCTAGACAATAAGAATTGATAAGATTTGGAGCACCATAAAGCGGGTTGTGAGTTCTTTTTTTCCCTTCCTTTAGACGGAATAATCTCAATAATTGATATCCAATGCCATTTATTATTACCTTTTGTTTGTGAAACTACAGAGTACAGCTCTAATCTTATGAACATGTTGGTCAATATTATCATTAACTCTCCAAGTGCTGGAAGAGGCATTATACAATAACTATGTAGTCAGTTAATGCAATCAAACCCTGAGCGGCGAATATCACCGAGCGACGGATTTTGTATTCCCATATAAAGTAGCGTTTTTTCAATCCACTATAGCTCAACAAACATCGCATTACTTATATTATGTCAGTGGACCATATAACCAACTATAAAGTATACACATCGATATTAACTACTTATGCTTAAAATGAATAAATGGCAGTCTTAAATACACACCGTACATCAGAATACGCCGTGATTTATTTTATCGGTGTAATTAGAACAGTAGGACAATTCAAAATTGGTAGGTAGATTGCTTATTATTTGAAATATGTTATCCAAGATATCGGCTAAAATGAGAAAAGAATGGTTAGATTATAGCAAATTGAAAAAATGCTACTTTATATAGGAATAGAGAGTTCGTCGCTCGGGGGTGGACTACATTAACTACCTAACTGACGTGGTCAGTAAGCGAGCGACGTATGTAAGCGAATGACGCACTATCCAACCGAATCTCACCCAACCATCTTAATCATTTTTTTATTGCCTACCATGCCACCAAATTGCTCTCAATCTTTTCAAAAATCAATCAAGAAGGAGGGTAGGGTTTTGTTAGCTACTGAAGCTATTCAAAAACATCAAATTACTTCTGTGCGCGAAACAGCGCGCCGATTTAGCGTGCCTGAGGCTACGGTCCGCTGCCGTCTAGCTGGCTATACAAATCGCCATGATACGCGCGCAAACAACCATAAATTGACTGAGACTGAGGAATATACGCTTCTTCAATGGATTTTGTCAATGGATTCACGTGGCGCAGCGCCTAGCCCTGCTGTTCGAGAAAAAACCAATATTCTGCTTGCTCAGCGCGGCCAGATTCCTCTAGAGACTGTTGGTCAAAAATGGGCGTATAATTTCACTCAGCGTCAACCAGAGATCAAAGGGCGCCATAGTTGTCGATACGACTATTAGCGCGCCAAAAATGAAGACCTAACGATCACTCAACAATGGCTTGATCTAGTGCAAGAGACAATCATACAATATGGTATCGCATCTGAAGATATATCACTTTGATGAGACTGGTTTTGCTATGGGTCTCACTGCTACTGCTAGGGTTATCACACGCGCTGAATACTATGGTCGACAACCTATATTGCAACCTGGTAATCGCGAATGGGTCACATTAATTGAAGCGATCAACGCTACTGGATGGGCACTACCATCATACCTGATCTTTAAGGGCAAGGTCTTTATCGAGTCATGGTTTGATGACCTTTTATCAAACTGGCGTATCGATATCTCACCTAATGAATGGACTACTGATTAGATTAGTCTATCTTGGCTAAAAGATCACTTTATTCCATTGACTAATAGTCGAATCACTGGTTATTATCGGCTATTGATCCTTGATGGCCATGGTAGCCATCTTACATCCCAATTCGACCAAATCTGCGAGCAAAACAAGATTATACCAATCTGTATGCCAGCGTCATGCGTCTCATCTATTACAGCCATTAGATGTAGGCTGTTTTGCAGTTTTAAAACGCGCCTATGGCTGTTTGGTCGATAAGCAGATGCGCTGCGGGTTCAACCATATTGACAAACTTGATTTCCTTGCTGCCTACCCAAGCGCGCGTGCTGAGGCCTATAAACCAGCTAATATCCAAAATAGCTTTGCTGCTACTGGTATAGTGCCATATAGCCCCGATCGGGTGCTCTCGAAGCTGAATATTCAGCTAAAAATACCTACCCCCTCCCCCCTCCAAGTAGCCAGGCAGGCAGTCAAACCAGCAATTCTAGCCTAAAGACACCACAGACCAGCGCCAATTATATCGACAAGCATCTTCCATCGAAGCTCTATACAATCGAAACAGCAATAGCCCTTCAAGCAGGGCACTAAACCAGCTGATCAAGGGTTCCCAGCTAGCTATGCAGGCCGGTGCGATACTAGCGCAGGAAAACAAGGATCTACGCGCGACGAATGAGAAAAAGAAGCAAAAGCGAGCTAGATTTAAGAGACAGATTGCTTACCAGGGTGGTTTATCAGCGGAAGACGTTCAGCAGGTGATTCAGGGCCTAAACCAGTCTCCCGAAGTTGAGATAATCACCCAGATGGCAGCGGCCGCGCCGGCCACCAACATGTAGTCTATGTGGGAATGTAGGGCATAAGGTTAACCAATATCCTAGTAGATAGCTGAATGAATTTAACGGCGTTGGTGGTTAATAAAATCGATTCCAATTTAGGTGGTGTGGTCAGGTGCGTCGCTCGTCTACATGCGTCGCTCGCTTACCAACCACGTTACGTTGGACAGCTTATCTAATTAGCAGTGTCCAATGACAAAGGCTTGAATTTAACTTACCAGGCAGAACAACATTATATATTCCGAATTTCAAATTTATTACAATACCTTACTTGGAAACGGCCATGCTCACTTATATTTGGCCATTCATAAGCAAGCGTATTGTCACATTAAAACCCATTTGTGACAAGTGAGCCGCAAGCCCGCAGCGTCTTTCCTCAATTATCCATTCATTATTGCCACCAGTGTCTCAACGCCGACATAAACCTCGGAATAGGTCTTCACTCAATTCTGAAATCGTCTGAAGGAACTGTCCATTATACACGGATCAAGATAATTAGTCATGTTGCATCTACCAAAGCGCGCCATTCCTGGCGTTTTTTCTGGTGAGCACTTTTATTCTTCTTGACTTAGGCTATACTGACAAGAATATCAGTGCGCACATGCCTCACCCCGGGCCTTCACATTCAGCCAACGGCATCCCTGTCGACGTCTTCGAGCAAGTCGGCCACTGCGCTTGAGCGTCAAGGGCACTCAGGCCAGCCGCTCACGGCATCTGGCAAGGTGCGAAGGGAGGTGCCTTTACCAAGTCAGGAGAAAAAGGAGGGTGCGATGCAATATGTCCTGTTTGTGTCCCCGGCCAGATTTAGACCCCAGTCTTTCATGGGATACTAACCGCTCTTCCCGTGCACCTTAAGAACCACTCTCGATCAGGTGACCAACTGGGCTCGCCAGAGTTCCCTGTGGCCTATGACATTCGGACTTGCATGTTGCGCTCTTGAGATGATGCATTTGTCAACTCCTAGATACGATCAAGACCGCCTGGGAATCATTTTTCGAGCTTCGCCTCGTCAGTCAGATGTCATGATTGTCGCCGGTACCTTGACGAACAAGATGGCACCTGCTCTTAGGCAAGTTTATGACCAGATGCCGGACCCGCGTTGGGTTATTAGCATGGGTAGTTGTGCAAATGGCGGTGGTTATTATCACTACAGCTACTCAGTTGTCCGAGGCTGTGATAGAATTGTGCCTGTTGATGTCTATGTTCCAGGATGTTTGTGTCCATTGACCTTTCACATAAATGGAGTTTAACGCTAACTTGGATTTCAAGGCCCACCCACATCTGAGGCTTTGATGTATGGGATTTTTCAGCTTCAAAAGAAAATGAGGCACACAAGGATTACACGCATGTGGTATCGTCGTTAGTTTCTTTTTTAGTTTGTTATGAGACACTGCAGCGTTCAGATAACTGTGTACACTATCCTGGATTAAAAGATTTAAGAAATACCGATTATAGCAGGGACCATTTAATACATGTCCGGCCTTGATCATTGTATGAGAGAAACATCCTGTTATGATTTCATCCGAAAATGTACAGTACAGCATATTCTATAAGTTTTCTCTCCCTAAAACATCTCTTAACTTCATTTACATGGATTGTAGAGTTCAGTTTTGAACATAGATGCATTTATTCAATTAATCTAATATATCTGAATTTCAATCATCCATTAACCACGACGCCGCCGTTGGGGTGCAAGCATTGGCCAGAGATGAAACTGCTGTCCTGACTTGCAAGGAAAACGAAGCATGTAGCAACTTCACTGGGCTGCCCTGGGCGACCGATTGGCACGGTGTGAAACTGCTCCATTGCAGACGTATGCATTGTCGAAGGAATGAGAGGAGTCCAGACTAAAAGACTTGTCAACACGTCTATCCGTTAAAGCTAGGTAGTCAAGGACTTACTTGGACCAGGGCAGACACAATTGACTCTTATGCCTTTACCAACTTGTTGATTTGAAAGACCTCGCGTAAACGCTACAATGGCTCCCTTGGTTGACGTATAATCAAGGAGATCAGGCCGACCAATGTAATGGTTAACCGAAGAGCAATTGATTATAGTTGAGCCCCTTTTCATGTGAGGCAGGGCGTACTTGGAAAGATAAAAGAACGGATGAATGTTGGTATCGAACGTCCTTTCCCACTGATCTCTGTCGGCCTGTCAGCACGTTTCCGTCAAGAAACTAGCCGTTCCATACTCACTCGGACAATTCACTGATGTCGCTAAGCATGTGCTGAAACGCAGCATTGTTGACGAGTATGTCGATTCCACCAAGGGACTGCAAAGCCACATCGATTATCTTTTTGCAGTTCTCTTTTTTTCGAAGGTCAATAGCCAAGCAATGACATTCACGGCCGGCTTCTTGGACCTGTTTCTTGGTTTCCTGTGCATCTTTTTCTTCCTCTGGCAAATACACGATGAGACTCGACGCTCCTTCCATCGCAAAAAGTATAGCAATGGCGCGCCCGATTCCTGAGTCACCACCAGTAATGATGGCTCTTTTACCATCTAACTTTCCAGCTGCCTTGTAAAGTTGGTATCCACCATCCTCTGTCGGAAGATGAGTTGACACAGGGGCTTCTTTTAGATCTGCCTGTAATCCAGGCTTCTCCAGGTGCTGAATAGGGACACGATGGCCTGAAACGGTTTATGAGCCAATGCACTTCTTGTCATTCGGACTAATTGCGCTTACCAGGCTGAAACTGAGATGACATTGTGCTATGTCTTCCGGCTTTGTACGTCCGATAATGGTCTGTTTCTCGGCTTTGTTGACGATCCGTAGATTTGAAGTAGTTGTAATTGGACATAGGAAAGAGCAGGTAGCTCATCGATTTATATTATTCTCATTTCATGAGAGTAACCTGCGTGGGACCGAACCTGTCGTCACAGTGACGTTGAATCTTCTGCGGACAATCAAACCTCAGGAAATAAACACCGAGTACATAAACCAGGGTATTGTTTTGCGTGTATAGACCTGCCTACCCAATTCATAGTTTCCGTGATCGTAAGCATCACGGTTTCACTGGAGTGACGTTGTTCAGTCAGGTAATTGTGACAGGAATGGGTGCCTCATTATGATGATGATAGATCGAATAACGCTTGTCCCCCACAATTATCGAGACATTAATTCGTCTGCAATGCTTCTCAACTGGTGTCACCTTTTTGTGCCGTCAGCCATGTTGGAGATCATCCATCCGATGCGACAGGGCGCTATTTTTATTAAAATACTATTGCAGCATTGATATTGATAGAAACGTTCCTAGTTCCTCTCTACTCTTGTCTTAAATGCATCATGCTTACTTCTACAAAGTGATCTCGCATATATATCTATGTTATTGTAGAAATTAGCTACTTTCCAACCTTTCATAATGTCCCTGCTGCCAGTTTTGCGCGAATGCACGTTCATATTATCGTTTCAAGTTCGTATATAGTAATACTACTCCGTACGGAGTACATGTAGACATCATCTGTATTCATTCTCACCGCCATCCTGACCGCCTGCTCACTGTTGCCTTTTTTTTTTTTTTTTTTTGTGCTTCTTTAGCCGTTCGATTTTTTCGAGACCTTCTCAGACCCCACTCTTTATTTGCTTCTGAGCAAGTGCATCTTTGAGTGTTCGTATCGAAAAATGAGTCATTCGCTTTCAAATAACATTGAAGGGTCAACCTCAATTGAACCTCTTCACTCGATATTGTCTACACCTTGGTCCTTTCTCCATCCGACAGCAGAACTGCATGATGCTGTAATTGGATCGACAAAGCATTTCTTTGACACAATCGCATTATCCGTCAATAATTCACAGACATCTCGACTACAGAGCACCAGAAAACGCAAGAGATTCGAACCCAGACAAGATCATACGGATCGGGTTTTGCAGTTGAAGCAGCTGTATGTGGAAGGGTTTACATCGGACCAAATATGGGAGCAAGCCACACGAATTCTTGATTCAACTAGCAGAGAAGTAGAGCGCGATAATATCCATGCTAGGAAATCGGCGCGAACTACCTCAGCCGGCTCGGCTTCCGAGACCGAAGGACCTGGATACGAGTCAATAGAGGACTCTGAAAATGAGTCTACAATCGATCACGGTGACATGAAGACTGGCCCAGAGCCTAATGACTCTCCTGACTGTGAATTGGATACTGGGGATGAGATCGATGAAGTGTCTAATGAAGATGCTGCTTCCGCTAGATCTGATGATGAAATTAAACACAGCACATATACGGAGGATCGCTTCGGGTTGAATGATGGTTTCTTTTCGATAGATGACTTCAATGCGCAAACTGAAGCTTTTGAAAGGGAAGATATCAGAGGTGGTCCAACAGAAGAGGCCGATAGCGATGATGAAGATATCGATTGGCATGCGAACCCCCTTGTTTCGGGCAATGCAATGTCCGTTTTAAAGGGCCCATCAAAGGTAAACGGAACGGAGGATGAAATGAGTGATAGTAGTGACGAAGAGGGTCCTACGTTTGGGAATTCAAATTTGCGAAACGACTCAGATTCGGAGGACAGTGACAATGCAGGCGCCGACGGTGGAGACGGCACTGGTTGGATTGACACTAGCAATATCAAATACACCGACTTTTTCGCGCCGCCTCCCCGAAAGGTCACAACAAATAAGGCACGCCCGCTCCCAAAGACGCAACCTAATACGGCTAACCTCGATAATGATGTTGGCCGTGCAATGGCTGATGTTCGCCGCGATTTATTCGAAGACGATGCTTCGGATAATGAGATTTCTTCCGACAACAATGGAGACCTTAAAACGCAACGGTCAACGCATGAGAAACAACGGGCACATATTGCAGACGAGATACGTCGCCTTGAAGCTGCCAATGTTGCCAAAAAGGAATGGATGCTCTCTGGTGAAGCCAGGGCAGCCGAGAGACCTATGAATTCACTGATCGAAGAAGACCTTGATTTTGAGCGGATCGGGAAGCCAGTGCCTGTTGTTACGACAGAACTCTCAGAGAGCATTGAGGACCTGGTGAAACGCCGCATTTTAGCCAAGGAGTTTGATGAAATCATCCGTCGCCGTCCTGGTACTTCAGATGCCCAGGATGCGCGGAAGCCGAGATTCGAGTTGGAGGACACGAAGCCTCAGCAAAGTCTTGCTGAAATGTACGAAGCTGACCATCTTCGTGCTACTGATCCCAATTTTGTCGATCCCAAAAACCAAAAGTTAGTGAAGGAACATGCTGAAATCACGAACTTGTGGAAGGAAATCAGCAGCCAGTTGGATACTCTTTCTAATTGGCATTACAAGCCAAAGGCTCCCCAAGCAAATATCAACGTCATTACGGATGTGTCGACTGTCATGATGGAGGAAGCGCGACCAACTGTTAGTGGTGCTGTGAATGGTTTGGCAGCCCTCGCTCCGCAGGAGATATATGTTCCTGGTAGCGATGGCAGGGCTACTGGAGAAGTTGTGATGAAGACAGGAGCATCTGTTGCCAAAGACGAAATGACTCGCGAAGACAAGGCCAAGTTGAGACGACAACATAAGAAACAGAAGAAGGCTGGCACTGGACAGTCCAATCAACGGTCCAGTAAAGCAGCCGAAAAGCAACAACTCGTATCGGACCTGAAGCAAGGAGGTGTCAAGGTCATAGGGAAACAGGGCGAGGTTACAGATATCCATGGTAGCAAGGTTGATGGGGTCGGCACGAGAAATAGTGGTGATACGCTGAAGTTGTAAGCATCGCATCACTTGGTGTATTTATAGATTCCTGTAATCAAATTTTTTCTTCTTCCGCCAGTTACTACACCAAGCTTTCTTTTACTTTCATTTCTCTGTGATTCTATTTAATCATTTGCGCCCTCTATCTTCCACCTGTTTCGCTATTTCTAGCGCGAATTCTATAAAGAAATATGTTCTCGCGCTTGTAATTTTCGGCGTCAGGATCATCCTGGATTTCACTGATATCAAATATTTTCTTTGCCACTTTCAGAAATCGAACATCCGCTCGCCTACGTCTCTTAAAGCAAAAGTAGCATACTGAGTTGGGGCCAATTAGTTCTTGGAGCGTCGTTATGAGAAGTGGGAAGGCCGGTTCAAAATAAACGCAGTCAGCAGCCAATATAACAGCCGGGCGATAAGGGATGTCATCAGGAAGCGGCTCTCCCCAGTTTAAAACCATAGCTTTGACGAGCGGCGAGAGGTTGTTGAGTTTTATGTTCGTTTCCATCAATGGAAGCATCGGTTCTTGGTCGGTGAGGTAAATCGGGGATGGCCCAACAACGCAGCCGCGAGCTACTGCCAATCCAACAAGGCCGCCTCCAGCCCCCAGTTCAACACTGCCTCAGAATATCAGTTAATAGTTCAATTTGATCATGTGATGGAGATTACAGACATGGATTTATTAGCAAGATCTGACTGATGTTGGCGCAGAAGATACTTGGCCAGAACCATCCCAGCCGGCCAGAGTTTGCCTCCACATCCTTCAGAAAGATCCTCCTTGAGAAACAGAGGATCATTCAGGAGTCCATCAAATGACACACTGCTATTTCCAGCTTCCTGCGGCTTCCTTATTGGGACCAAAGACTCGCTGACATCGAAGGGATCAGTTGAGTCCGCTGATGCGGGGCTAGGAGCGTGACCCTCCATGCAGGAACGAGAGAAGAGGGTGGAAAATGGAACCAAGACCTTCTAAACGAATATATGTGTGTATGTATATGTGTTATCAGAGGGTTGGTGTGAAAAAAAAAAAAAAAAAGGTGTAAGCGTTGATGATGGTAAACGCATGAAGGGCACCATGGAAAAAAAAAAAATAAAAAATAAATATATATATATATATACATAGGAATACAGGAGTAGAGGAAGCTAAGTAGTAATCACCAGGCCACCATTATCATGGCAATAGACGGGTTAATTTTATGATACCCTAGACATTGTTCTTGTCCAAGTTTGGCTTTACAATTCCATAGCATGGCATTTCATATTGAATTCACATTAACAAGAAAGTTCACGTGATGAGTACTAGTACTCGCGTCTTCGAAATGATGTCATGTCGTTCTTAAAGCATTTCCGATCTCCCCCGCATTGCCATCTACTTTCCGTCCGCATCCACTCAGCCCGATCATTGGTCCAAAGTAATAGTATTACTCCATAGCAGGTTCTACTTCCTATTTCCTTATAGAATACATTTTCGATCATGTCGACGTCATTGCTAGCTACTTCTGAACGCGGCTGCCAAGATGACGATACCATATCACCTTCAAAAGCTCACCTATTTCCTGCTGTAATTCTATCTATTCCTTCTATCCTCTAATGAAGACACGTTTTTATTAGAACCGTAATATATCTACCTCTACTTGATTGATTTTTCAAAATGACGACTCTTCACTGTGAGTATTCCAATGGTCCGAAAGGCTATATGTTGCTAAAACATGACGATCAAGACTTGCCCCCCGTGAAGCCCTCTGCCATTGCGATGGGTACGGTCTTCACCCATACTGCTTCCTTGGGTATCCTTGCGCCAGTCTTTGGGGACACCTACCACCGTGCTCAGGCAGCCAATTCTAAAGAAGAATTCATTAAGTCCAAAGAAGCTGCTGGAGCAGCAGCCGCCTGGGGCAGTTCCTTCGTCGGAAGTGCAGCCCAGACGTACGGAGTGGCAGCCTTAATCAATGCAACCGGAACTCTGAGCTACAAGGGCGCGGCCTATTTGGGAAGCTTGATCTTCATGGCTAGTTCTGCTCCAAGCGTACGTTGTCTTGCCTGTGCCTTTTCCCAGTTTTTTAAATGCTGACCCTTTCATTTCCCGCGCGAGAACAGTTCATCAGCCAGGTATTTACGGAGAAGCGGCCTCTAGATACTGTGGCTGTGGGAGCCGTCAGCAGGGCTTTCGAAACAGTGGGACTGAGCTTGTTCTTGACATGGTGGGGTACTCGGACCAACCCCTTTGACTAAAGGCGCGTCGATAAGGCAAAGGAAATGTGATCATTGTCTGTTATGACCACAGTTCTTCCTGTATCAATGTTCTTAGCTCTTGAATGAATATGCAATTATCTATCGTGCACGTATCTTGGGGCCACGCAAAGGAAAGAAAGAAATCTATATAACTCGGTCACTACCATTAGGTTCTCTCGCTCGTTCTCTCTATTTTAGTATCTATCTATTTTTCACCTTTTCATTTCTCATATGCATGCTGATAGCATGTTGTTGCCTCTAGCCCTAAGTAAAATATATAGGTAAAAATCTACAGTGGTATAGTGCTGTATTCGTTGAAAAAAAAAAAAAAAAAAGAAATAAATGGTATCCATTGTAGGAAAAGTCTATGGCACAATTAAACGAATGTGCGGCAGGGATACCTATTTTAAGAGGCGTTAGCACTTGAGTTTAGCTGGGAGAAAATTCAACATACACTTCAGGGTAGCCATTGTCGTGGTCCAGCTGGTACTTTGTTGCCGATGCATTCAGATTACAAGGCGTCGGCGGCAGGCCATTAGGGCCAAGAACGTCCTTAATGCCCTTCTTGTCTTTCTCAAAATGAGCAGCCAAACCACGCTGTTCGCCTTCCTGCTTGACAGAAACCAGTTGTTTTTGCCCTGCTTCTCCAATCTGCAAGACGTCATCTTTTGGCGCAGCCTGGCTTCCAACGGTAAGCAGACCCACGGCATCTGCTTGATTCACAGTGCTGAGCCTGGGATAGTTCCTTCGGGCGTCTCGTTTCCAGTAGGGGTTGTCGGCAATGTCACCGGCTGGCGCAGTCACGGGGTCATCGTAAGTTAGAGGTGAAAGACCTCCAGGCGTAGGAAGACGATAATGAGCATTCAATGGGATACCGGTGGATCGCTCGGGCGCAATGGACAATAGGCGACGGATACGTTCCCAAATTCCGTAGGATTGGACTGTGTATTTCTAAAGAGATAATCGTTTAGAAAAATTGCACGTTGGACAGAAACAGAAGATACACAATTCAAGCCAAGGCTGAACTATCTTACCTTGTGAACGGCGACGGCGTTCGAGGCGGTTTTGGCTGCTTTCAAGATATCGCGAGCCATGATGAGCGAGACGTTGACCTACATGTGCCAAGTTAACAATGCTATCCCCAGCTTGCCGCAAAATGTACGGCGTAAGAGAAAAGGAAATTCAATTCAAACGGCCAAAACATTACCTTTTTCAACCGCCTCCAAAGTAGATATGTTCAGTAACTGGTAGTGTAATACGGCGAACATTCATTAGGAAGCGCTGATAGCCGACGCTATAAACGGAACAATAGTATTTCCACCCGACACGGAATCTCATTACAGCGAACAGGCATGCAGTGAATTCTAAGCATTCTAATCTAGTTACCATCCACATTATTATAAACACCGCATTGTTAACAGACGTCAGATCTACTTAAAGCTAAAGGTCAGGATATTACTGAACAATGTAAGGAGACCACTATCTGGTCAATTTCACACTGGAGTACCCAAGGATACTATATGTTGGATGCAGAACAAGCCATGAGCTAGTTCAGGGATTTGTTTAATACCTTCCCCCCTCCTTCTTCCTCAATTCCCTTTCCCCTCTAATTCTCATTCTTGGTCTGTGTTTCAACATCCGTTTTCGGGGTTCCTTCGACCTGCACCAGTTTCTGTACAGCATCGACTGTTGCATCCGGACCGCCGGCCTGGCGAAGCAAGACCTTACCTTGTTTATCTACTGAGAAGACGCCTCTGATAGTACCCTTTGGTGCTTTCTTGTACCCAATGGCGCTAATCAATACAGCGCTGGTGTCGCAAAGGAGAGGATAGGGTAAGGTTTGCTTGGACCTGAATGTAGTATTTGCCTTGGGTGAATCGGTTGAAAGGCCGTAAATTGATAGCCCAGTTGATGTCAGATGGCTGTACTTGTCGCGAAACATACACGCTTGCTTTGTGCCTTTCATGGAATGAGTTTCTGCAGTAAACCACTGGGCATCTCAAAATAGGGATACCGAGCTTGCACTCTGGACTATGGTGAGAATATACTTACAACCAGGGGTTGATGCTTTTGGATAAGTAAATAGAACAACACCAGACTTGCTTGTAGCTACAAGCTCTTTGAGATTCGTTCTTGCGCCATCATTTGTCTGAATTTCGCCACCGAAACCATCCAGAATAACAGTGTCACCGATATTGGGAACTCCAGTAAGTGAATCAGCGTTTGTGGTATTGCTCGTTTTTCCCGTTTGGCGACTTGAGGAAGGTATCTCTTCTTTCTTGCCTCTCTTTTTGGTCCCCGTGATGTTAGGCTGTGCAGATGCTTTGCGCTTTCTGAGTTCGACCATATTGAGAGGAAAGGGCGGTCGGTATGGGAGAGAACAGAAAGGTGTGTATGGAGTACAGAATAAATGCAGAATAGGAATAATAATTATACGTGTATAGTATGTATGGGGCACATATGTACTTGATTTTGGACAGCTTGAAGGCTTTCTCTTTTCATTTTAGTGCTCACCCCTTGCGGCTTCTTACTCACCGAGCAGATCTGAGCATGCCCTGGGCCGATCACTGAGCAGGAGCTGAGTAGAGGGGTGAGTAGCCTAAGTAACCTCAATGAAATGCACCACACTAGGTTACACCTATGGCCATTTTCCTTTGTAACACTTTTTACCAACACCCCCTTGACCACATCAACAAAGTAATGGTACCATCAATGGAACAGGGAGTTGAGGTGATCATGATCATTCCTTCTGCTCTGTTTTTAACCATGCCAAGTTCTCCTCGGGCGCTTTATTTTCTACACTCCCGGATTTCCTCCTTCAGATTGTAATAGGTGTCTTCGTCTATATGGTCTATCGGAAATTCGCTACCAAGAGAGTATTCAAATGTGCACTAGAGTGTCTGACGCGGCATGGTGAGCGATTCTAAATAAGGAGAGGAGAGCGTTGACGAGACAGATTTAACGTGGACGATGACTCACAACGTCGGAGTCTGTCTGGTGAAGAAGGTGCAGAGGAAAAGGGCCCAGGGGAGAAATTGCTAGAGCCAAAAGACCAGTTTCAGGAAGCCCCGGTGTCCAAAGGAATTTAATCAAGTTAGTCAATGGCCCACGATGTCATAATCCAAGCCTGCATTGTCTGGCGAGGGTCTTCGTCAATTTGTCATATCACATGAATGAATGTATTAACATAGTCTAAGTTTAAATTGATACTCTGGAATCTGTAACATATCTACACTCATGATTTTCTTAACAATCATTCATTCATATATCTGCTAATCAAAATAGACGATAGTTATAAATGTTTAGCGCTCGAGGAGGGCACCAAGAATGGTTTATTAATGAAAAATAGTGCATCGATGGAGAGTAAACAGCGATTCCCCAGGTTTCTGCAAAAAGGTATCGACAGTAGCACGTCCTCACCAAGTAAATGCAAGATGCTGGAGTATTTCCCACAACACAGCTAAATATGTGTATAGCGATATATGATGTAATATTATTATGGAGCAGAATGCTTTTTCGAGACCTCTGGATTCAAGGCGCTAGTGATCTAGACTCGGCATTATCCTGTAAAATTGAGATGACAGCGGCTCCATGCTAATCCTTTGCTCCAAGTGGGATCCATTATTATTGCAAATAGTTTGTCAGTCACCCAAAAACACTTTCAACCATGTTGAATTATAGCACAGAGTACTCCGTACAAGCACTAGTGAACACAATTGCATAATACCAAGCGCTCCGGTTTCCCCTGTACCGAGTGTTACGGTAACCATGGATGACCGGCGTTCTTTGCTTTTCTGCCGGAAGATCCCGACATCGGATCCAGGTCTCGTGCATTAAAAATTTCTCCCGCTTCTCAATTCTCATTGCAGGAGAGCTGCGATCGCCATCCACATCCTATCATCCAATATCGCCATCATATATCATCTAAGCTTTTCATCACTACTAGAACTATTCAATTCTTCTGTAGTTGAGCAATCTGACTCATTACTCATTGCGTTCCTCCTGAATTTGTTACTCCTGCGTTTTCACTTCGACCATCGCACTGCAACCATAATAACACCGATTTACACCGATTAATCCGTGCCACGGCACGTCCAACATCAAACACTGTCAGTCTAGAGTGTCTTTCCTTTGATTGCCTAGAAACGGGCATCTTCCTAGACGAGCAATCATGAAGGTCTTCTCTTCCAACTGCATCTTCGACTATTCCTGGAACGAAGTTTCGACCGCGAACTGGCGCAAGTACTGCCCATGGAATGACAAGTCAACCCATGTCGTGGGGGTGGATACTCTTTCTCGATCAGTCGATCCAGCAACTGGAATCGTAAGTTGCTCTGTGTTTCCAGTTTGTTATCTCGAGTAACCCCAATTAACATCGCTGCTGTATATAGTTGCGTACGGAGCGCCTCATCACATGTGATCAGTCCGTGCCACAATGGGTATTATCATTATTTGGAGGGAGCGCTACATCTCATGTCTACGAGATTTCGTATGTCGACCCAATCGCGAAGAAAGTTACCATGTGCTCCAGCAATCTTACTTGGTCCAACGTTCTCAACGTTCAAGAAACTGTGATATACCGACCTTCACTGTCAAAGGCAAACTCCACCGATTTTAACCAAGAAGCCAAAATCACCGCACTTTGTGGTGGCTGGCAGAAGATCAAAAACAAGGTAGAGGAGGCAAGTGTGGAAAGGTTCAGTCAAAACGCCAAAAGAGGACGAGAAGGCTTCGAGGCGGTACTCGAGATGAGTCGACGGGTCTTCGGCGAACAACGCGAGCACGAAAAAAGGCAGCTACAGTCGTGAGCATTTAGACATCCGTTTCCATCCGCATATTAAGCGACTTGCATATCTCGGCGTCGGTTTCTAATCCTTCTTGTTTTGGTGGTTGTTTCTCTTTTTCGGTGGCCGTGGCCAATGTTTATACGATTATCATGTTCCCACTTTCATGAAACTTGTGTTTCACAAAAGTTGTTTAGATATCCCTTGGTTTTGTTGGTCAATGTGTATTTGTTCCCATTTCGGGACTTCTGTACAAAGAAATTAGAATAGAGAATCTGAAATAAAAAGCATTATTAGGATATTAGTGTCGATCCGACTAGTTCCGCAGCAGTAACTATAGCTTTTCTGAATGTATCTTTCAAAAGAACTTCTACTTGTACATCGGCGCTCCTAATACTCCGTTCCCAACCAGTCAACGCCCATTATACCGCCTATGAGAAGGAAAAGAAAGAAAAAAGAAAAGGAGGGTAGCGATCAGCCCAGAAGACCACCCAAAACTACACGACTGACACCAGTCACCTCGTTTCTGGCACTACTGCGACTGGCGTCTTCGAATTCTCGCACCACACCAGCCACCATGATCTTTCGAAGTTTTGTATCCGCCTTGGAGAACATTTCGCCTAGAGAGACAGTGCATACCGAAGGAGTTGATACCAGAGAAATCAATCGAGTGTAGCAATCAATCAAAACATCACACAGAGTAGCAAAAGTTTCGAAAAAATCCGGCTCGAAGGGGAGCGACGGCGTTAATAGATAGGAATACTCCTCCCCTGGAAGAAGTTCAGATGACTCTGTTTGAGGAAATGAACTGACAGTCGCAGCTGTTGTCGCAGATGGGGCGATATTCCCTGCCATTGCTTTTAAATCAGAAGGATCGCTAGATTGCATGGGCAGTCCAATCTCTGTTGCCGAGCTAGCTCTTCTGACTTTTGTCCCTGCATGTGCTGCTCGCTTGAACATTTGTGGAATACGCGCTCTGGCTAGCGTTGACGACGAACTCCCGTCAGGTGGGTGTACTTGCTGGAAGGCTTCAAATTCCAACAGAAGCGCATTTAGGGCACGCAGGTATTCGGAAGGTGTTGAGTTGACATCCAAAATTGGCGGTAATGACAAACCAAGTAGAAGGTAGTTGACTGCACGACGAGACAGCTTCCGAGTCTCGAAATAAGACATGCGTCCCAGATCCGCCCGGGAGAAGTGAATTGTGTTGAACCAGTATACGCGTCCCTCATGACTGTAAAGTCTATTAGCATCTAAAACGAGATCGCTCTCCTGAAGAATAAAGACAATGTGGACAAACTGACGCTTTCCGAAGATAATCCAAAGTAGATATCCGTTTCGCTGCCATGTCATGGATATGCTGGTATATAGCCCCAGCACTTTGTGGTCCGAGTGTGCCTCCTCCACTCGTTAAAGGAGGAGGGATAGGTCCATGTGTGCTTTCTTGTCCCACACTTGATTTCGCGGTATCTCTTCGAGTTAAACTTGGGCCGAACGTGGACGAAATCATCTTTGCCGGCGTCGAATTGCGTACGCAGAGGTTTGGAATGAGGATAAAGAATCAGGAAGGCTTTTGTCGCCTTCTTATCATTCGCATCCGGGTCTGGAATAAATATTTGACGTGCTTTAAGTACTGTAGTAAGCTGTATGATTGAAAGTAAGCTGTAGGGTAAGTAGTCTGCAGAGATCTGGAGAAAGTCTCTCCACATTCATTCTGAACTAGCCCCTCCCCCCTTTTCTTGAATGTACTCCGTACTCTGTGTAAATTCGTTATACCACCTGATATTTTACGTAGTTCCTCTGTTTAACCTGGGCTTATGGAAAACAATATACATATTTCTTATGTAGTGTATCGATGATTCCTTGTGTCAAGATCGATATAGATATGATTATCAGGACCCCTCCGAACACGGAATAGTAGTACCAAGCTAGTTAATTACTCCGTAGTCTACTGCCTCTCCACCTTATCCTCTCTCTCTTTCTGTAAACATACTCCTTCCTTACACTCCAGTGGTGCCTCCCAGTCCAGAAGCATACTCCAAAATCAAAATTGCCGAAAGCGCCTTCTCATCCAGTCTGCGCAACATGAGCACATCCCTCGAGGAGCCTGCCCCGCTAACAGGGAACTGGCCCGTGGACCCCCAGGAGAATACGCCCATTTCAGAGGATCGTGTTTGGGTCGACGGATGTTTTGACTTTAGCCATCACGGTGAGAAGTCAATCCCATCCTTCCAGCATGAAGATAGATCGATCGTCTAATTCTCGATTCTCCCTGTAGGACATGCGGGAGCTATGCTTCAAGCCCGTAAGCTAGGCAAAGAACTATTCGTTGGTGTACATTCGGACGAAGCAATCCTGGAGAATAAGGGACCAACGGTGATGACTTTGGAAGAACGGTTAGTTTACTGAGTCACTTTTACTTCGCTCTTTTCTTCCTACTCCCCTATACGCTGACATCGCTTCTTATATCTGGTATTCAGTGTCGCTGCAGTAGAGGCGTGCCGCTGGGCGTCCCGATGTATTCCCCGTGCCCCATACGTAACTTCGCTTCCCTGGGTGTCTCATTACGGCTGCCAGTATGTCGTTCATGGCGACGACATCACCTCTGATAGTAATGGTGACGACTGTTACCGGTTCGTCAAGGCAGCAGGACGCTTTAAAGTGGTCAAACGGACCCCTGGGATTTCCACAACAGATCTCGTTGGCCGTATGCTCTTGTGCACCAAGAGTCATTTCATCAAATCTGTTGAAGCTACGCTTGCCGGGGAAGAAGGCTCCAGAAACTGGGAGGAACGAAAAAAATCCGCCGCGGATCTCATGCGCCGGATCACAGATTATGCCACGGATGAGACTGGACTACAACCTGGACCCCAGGTTTCGACTTGGTCTGGCTCGAGTCTAGCCAAGCTTGACGGTAATGTTGAAGAAGCAGGGTCATTTGAAAGTCTTGTCCATGGGAAACCCCCCAAACCAGGGCAACGAATAATTTATGTTGATGGTGGCTTTGACCTTTTTTCATCTGGCCATATCGAGTTCCTCAGACAGGTCTTAGCCCAAGAGGAGACAGAAGGCCACAAGCGTGGCTGGTATAACCCCGAACAGAAGAAAAGCAGATTGGAAGAGTCCGGCGAAGACTATCCTCCGGCTTATATTATTGCTGGTATCCATGATGATGATGTGATTAACAAGTGGAAGGGACTCAATTACCCGATCATGAACATCTTTGAACGTGGCCTCTGTGTCCTCCAATGCCGTGTAAGTCAATATAATTAACTGTCATGAACAGCGCTTCAGTATGATGTTGACTTAAGAGCCAGTATATCCATGCCGTCGTCTTCTCGGCTCCTTTTTCTCCAAGTCAACCCTACCTGGAGAATATGCCTTTGGGTGTCCCCGACGCTGTCTATCACGGCCCAACAACGTTCATTCCGCTAACATATGATCCCTATAATGCCCCAAAGAGAATGGGCATCTTCAGGGAGACCGAGTCTCATGCCTTCCAGCATGTGAATGCTGGCGAGATTGTTGATCGAATTCTAAAAAGTCGAGAAGCATATGAAGAAAGGCAGCGCGCGAAACTGCAGAAAGGCGCCATCGAGGACTTGGCCAGGGCAAAGGAAGAGACAGCATAATCATTGCCGTTCATAGTTTTACGCAGGAAAACAGACTAGCTGTAAATAGTTTCAACAACGACATACCTGTTATTTCATAATAAAACCGCCACCAGCTAAATACAGAGCAAAACACAGTTGAAGCCAGTTCTGTATGAAAAGATTAGGCCCGTCCAACATCATGCCTAAGTCTGCAATATAGGGCTGGAATATGCGCTGCGGCACATGGAAGAGTAAGTGTACACGCTGCAAACGTTTTCCAAGAAAAAATACAGTAACAACGATCATCAAATTAAACTGTCAATACAGACATATTCATACAAAAGAGAAGGGGCATGATGCCGGAGTGTCTAATCGGCAGCTACCAGAACTGACTTCTCTTCAAGCAGTTTTGCGAGCTCCCCATTCTGGTGCATTGACATAAGGATATCGCATCCGCCAACAAAATCTTTGTTCACATACAATTGCGGGATAGTCGGCCAGTCCGAGTATTCTTTAATGCCTGGTGATATTACATAGTGACACGGTCAGCTCCATGTATCCCAGTTGAACTATGGAAGCTCTTAGCTTACCTTGTCGCAATTCAAGATCCTCTAGGACATTGAATGCGACGAATTTCTTAGGGTCTACACCCTGCAGGCCCAATATCTGGATACTAGCTCGTGAGAAACCGCATTGCGGGGTCTCGGGCGTGCCCTTCATAAACAGCACAACGGGGGCGGTAGCAACTGCCTTATCAATCGCCGCTCTCGTCTCGGTAGACAGCAGGCGTGCATGGAGGGTAGAAGGCAGCTGGAAAGCAGCAGTGCGCGGCTGTACGAAGTTCGCCGGCCGGGAAAGTGGTCGGAATACCTTGGAAGACTTTAGTGTACGTTCGTTCAGATCCCGGAATTGCCCAAAGTACACTTACCGACGCGAATGCTGTCCTTGAAAACATAATTCAAAAAAGGTCTTGATTAATGTGTGTCTCGGGCTGAAAACCTGAACTGTGATTCAAAAAGGGTTGGTATTGATATGCAGACTGCAAGTACGCCACTAAGAATACCGCTGATTAACAATTGAAAATTATTTGCTCTCAACCAATCAGAAATCAGGATACGCTAACTATTGCCGCCTTATCAACCCCATATTACTATGTATTACTCAATATCACCAGGTTATGAAGTTAGCAGAATCTATTCTCATCGCAATTGTGTTGTTGAACAAAAACGGCGATATGTAGTGATTGAGACCAGAGGAAATGTTGATATTTGCTTTGGTATACTAACGTATCGGGAGATTTATTCATATATTCATTTTCTTCTATCCGATTCATCGCGGGGTTGGGGACGTTTCTAGTTTCGATTCTTCTTTCTCATGGAAGCCGAAAGCTTGCGCCAGATACTCCAGGAGTAGCCCTAATGCTATGCCTCCTCCGGTAAACAGACAACCGTTATTAAACCACCACCAACAGTTCTGGACATTCTTCAGCTGAACTTTCCAAATCATAACGCCAAGGGTAATAATTGCACTGCCGCAGCTGCCCACAAAAAACACAGGACCAGCACCTGCCGTTACTCCTGCCACAGCAAGCAATGCGACCTGGGTCGCAGCTAGGCCGGAAAGGATACTTTTGGTGTTGTGTTCATGGCGAAGAGCAATTGATTTAATCCCTGCAGCTACATCATCTTTTATGTCCATGTGGGCATATATCATGTCGTACAATACTGTCCAGGCGACACAGCTAGAATAGAGAGCTGCCGCTGATTTCAGTGCATCGGGATTAGCGAGAAGGTCCACGCCCAATGCTGGAAATCCCATTATCGCGCCCCATGAAAATGTAAGCCCCAAGATGATCTGGGGATAGTTGGTGAAGCGTTTAGCAAGGGGATATGTCGTCACTAGGAGCAAACTAGGAATCCCATACCATAGGCACTGGGTAGGAAACTGGAGCAACACACCAAGCCCAGCCAGTAATTGAGTGCCTGTAAACAGTATCGCTTGTTCGGGAGACAGCGCCCCCCTTGCAATTGGTCGAAATTTTGTGCGTTCAACATGGGGATCCAGATTCCTATCCCAGAGATCATTTATCGCACAACCGGCTCCGCGCATAATCAATGCTCCAGTGAAAAAAAGGCCTGTTGTGCCGACAATTTGCAGAATTGTGGCATGCGGTGCCATGGGAGCAGCCAAAAGCGTTGAAAATATACATGGGAAAAATAGGTAATATGTTCCAACGGGCTTGTCGAGTCGCACCAACTCAGCGTAAGGTATCCATGACCGAGGAAGAGAGGCAATCAGCCCACTTGTAGGAGGCCTATAATGCGTTACTGGATTTGCTGATTTGTTTGATTCAGCGGCCAATTGCAACGAAGATGGAGAATGCGAACTATGTCGGGCGGAGATCGCCTTCCTAGTTGCAGTCGTTTGAAGCACCGGGGATTTTGTAGGCCTGTTTCCTATACGACCACGCGACATTGAAGATAGACGGACATAGTGGATTACCGTCGAAAGGCGTCTGCTGCACAGAACAAAGTCTCGTCCCCTAATATATGTGCGCAGTTGCACCCCTCGGTACAAGCTGAAGTGAAATATCGAAGAACTCATGCTGTAAAGCACGATATCAAGAATAACGAAACCACGATACTCAGAAACGAGAATAGTTCAACCGCGATTCATACTCATATAGAAAAAGAGAAAAAGAAAAGAGAATAAAGCCCTCCGACTAGAAAAGTCAATTCCTTTGCATCACAGTTTTCGAATTGCGACGACTGATATCCAGTTTCACGTGCTGGGCCCACCCGCCGCTCTTTTGTGAGATATTGACAATCGGCAAGGTGGTGGTATACGACGTAACTTCTACATAGTACAACTGCCACAATTACTTGGACGATCGCGTACCGAGGTAAATTACGCATTGGTACTTGGATATGCATTCCTTTGACAGGTTTCGCTGACCATCGCGTAATCGCATCGCAATGAATTCACAATGAGCTATAGGTAGCTCCTTTAGGAACTCCAGAAGACGTTCGCGACTTTTTGACTTATTAAACTGGGCGTTCCCTTATATTCACTGATACATGCCGGACAAATGACTACCGCTCTTCCAGAGAAGCAAAAAATGCTCTGCCGTCGGAGCACCTTATAACACTTCCATTTCTTGAACTAGGCGCAAATCAATTGTTTTCGAAAACTAGCTTCTTCCTATCAATCATTTAAACGCTTGTCACGATGCCTGCCCAGAGGCCCCGCGCAGCTTTTGAACCGATCTCCCCAGACTTGGATATCCCAGCACTTGTGGATGCGACACCGAATTTCAAGTTCGCTACCAAAATTCATTGCAACGCAATAGACCGCATGGGCTTAGGGGCTTTCGAAAAACTCGTTCAACTTTGCGTTGTACAAGGCGGGACACCTCTAGTTGTTGAAGGATTCAATGAAAGTCTGGACAGTTCCATCTTCTCTGAGAAGTGGCTGAGAACACACCATGGGGGAAAGAGTAAGTTGTCAGTATAACGCTTCCCTCTTAGCATTACTGACAGCACGGTATTTCCTGAAAAAGCGGAAATTGCTCGCAACCTTACCACCAAGTCCGATCTCCCTCTCACAATTGGTCACTATCTCAAGAACATGCATCTTCTTACCAATCAATGGACGGCATTCAATTATAAAGACGGGAATCTCCAACGTATATACTTGAAGGATATTGATTGTCCTCCGTTGTGGCACGACCATCTAAAGCGACAAATCCCTCCCTCGGTCTTCTATTTCAACGAAACCCCAGAGGCTTATGATGGCCCGGGTTCCACATCAGCTTTTATTCCTGACGAGAGTGAGGCAGGGATACGAATAGCCAAGGCAGGTGACCTAATGAGTTGTCTGCCACCAGATATGCGCGCGGAGAACCTTATGTGCTATATTGGTCATGAAGGAACATATACCCCATCCCATCAGGAAATGTGCGCCAGTATCGGTCACAACATCATGGTCGAAGCATCAGAAGGGTCAATGGAATATGGAAAACCCATAAAACCCGGATCTTCGCTCTGGTTCATGACTGAAAGTAAAGACCGTCATGTGGTTTCCGAGTACTGGATGTCAACATTGGGCCATGACATCGATATTGAAGACCATTTCGCACAGATGAACGCATGGAAAGCAGCGCCGTTCAAGACCTATATTGTTGAACAGAGTCCGGGTGACTTAATTCTCATACCCCCTCTAGCAGCTCACCAAGTCTGGAACAGAGGCACTAGAACAATGAAAGTGGCATGGAATCGTACCACAGTGGAAACTTTAAAGATGGCATTGACTGAAGCGCTTCCACATGCCCGAATGGTCTGCCGGGACGAGCAGTATAAGAACAAGGCGATTGTGTTTTACTCCCTTGAACGATACTCGAACCTTCTCTGTCATGTCGATGAATACAACATTGATAACCCAGAAGTTAGACAATTGATCAATGACTTTCAACATCTCTTTACTCTTTACGCTCAAATTCTGCTGTCAGAGAGTTTTTCGCCAAGACTACCCGCTGAGAAAGATGTTGAATTCACCGCCTTTGACAGCAATATAACTTGTTCATATTGCAGAGGGAACATATTCAACCGTTTTTTGACATGTCCATCATGCATAGGACCTCCGGCCTTGGAAGGGGAGGACACCTATGATATATGCATGGAATGTTACGCAATGGGGAGGAGTTGTGCTTGCATTTCCAATCTGAAGTGGGTTGAACAATTTCCTTGGGAGGAATTGACAACCAAGTACGAAGTGTGGAGGCAGCAAATCCTCGGTCTCACGCACGAGCTCAATAAACCTTACCAACAATTTTTTGCAGAAAGAGAAAGGATGGGTAAAAAGTCACTCGCTGAAGTATGCCAAGAACAACTGAAAGTGCGGCCATGGGTTGATATCATGAAACCAACCGTCAAGAAGATCGACAAAGTCAGCGACCCGGAGACGACTAGCCCAGCAAGAAAGAAAAGGAAGACGGGTCGCCGCAACACACCCCAGGGCACCGGCCATTGTCACATTTGCAAGTGTGCTGAGCCACTATGGAAGCTTGTGTCTTGTACGTATTGCAAATTGAATTACTGCTATGGAGGCCTTTACAGGGCCTTCAGCATACAACCACAAGATGCCATGGAGAAGTATCATTGGATGTGCCCTAGGTGTCAGAAAATCTGTATCTGCGCGGCGTGTCGCCGAGACAATACTATGACTCCTTTCGAGCCTGCATCCACCGTGCTTGGCCATGATACAAAGAATATAGCAGACCCTCGCAGCATTGAGAGCTTGGTTAATTTCCGGCATTCGAATCTTAAATGGTTCGAGAAGACAGGCGTGGACGACGAAACTCGACTTAGAAAACGCCAGAAGGAGGCCGACGAGGAACGCAATCAGTCTTTAATCGACCACGCTATCCAGCTTGAAGAAGCATCTCAAGCGTCAAACTTCGACGATATACCCGTAGACCCCTCATTAAAGCAGTTGTTTCTTACGCCGCCAGAATCAAATATCTAAGAGGGTTTACGAACTTTTTGCTAGTGCATCTGATTGAGAGCGCGTCTGTGCACCTGGGAGCATTATTACATGTGGAGTTGAGGGTGATCTTGGGGTTTTCTTAAAAATGGGGTTAGCATAACGGCGCATGCGGCATTTTAACATTCAAAGGAGGCTTTTGATTTTTGATTTTCTTTTTTCTATATGATTTTTGAAACATTAGGGTTCTAGGATTCGGTTGCTTAGCATGTTGAACATTTCGATATTGTCGGCTTGACTCTCAACTCAGAATAACAGAGCCTTATGATTGAATTAACAAGCTAGTATTATCGTTCTTCTGCTGCTCAAGAGTGTTACTGGACAAGCTATCTAGGCACCTTTGTACTCATATCGAAGGTTCTGAAGATGTGATAAATCCACTGAGATCATTGCTTCCCGCACCAACAAGATTACCCCGAACATTGCTGGATAACATAAGCCTAAGGTGACCGTCTTCATAATAACTGACCGAATGGAAGTTATATGCAGGTGTTGGGCAAAGATACGTACCTCCTGGAACTATATATAAACCCGGCCAGATAGAGGAAGATGACATATTAGCGAAGAGATACACCAGGATCAATGTCCCGCAGATGCCAGTGTTTGTAAACAACAAGCTTTTTCGGACGAGCATGGTGCGTTTGACCCGTGCAACAGGTCTCTTGCCTTTGCGATCAGACAAGTGCGGCATAGACAGCTTCATTATGCAGGCCGTTACCAGCAACGACGAGATAGCAAGGAAGGAGAAGAGCCGCGCTGCGGGAGTTGATGATCTGGACAGCACTGACGGGACGAACACTAGTGTTGGTAGTAGTGGAAATGCGGTGAAAACAGTCTATATACCGTAATGAATTGTTCAGCGTCAGACCCAGCATCTTTCAGAGAATGGAGATTATTACACTATATTGTGCATTCCGCTGGTCATTCTGTCTCTGCAATTGCTCTATCACCCGTTCTTGCTCTGTGGACTCTGTCAGGAACAACGTATCTAGAAAATAGTATAGCAAACGGACCTTCCTCGTCTAACTCTTCACGCTCATGCCCTTCGTCACCTGAGTCCTCGGGGTAGCGAAATACTCTACGAAGCCTTGTAGTAGCCATGAAGCGATCCAGGGCTTTGAAATCAGGGCAAGCGTTGAGTTCGATAATACGTTGGCATGAAGACTGACAATCGGGCCAATTGATTGGTGGCACTTCAACGTCCGCAGAGCCAAATGTGGTTTGTCTTGTTTGCTTTCTCTCATATCAACTTGCGGCCGGCCCCTCCACATCTTGCTTTGATTCTCTTGTTAGAACCTCTTTTCTTGCTAAAAATGTCGCTACAAGCTGCGCAGTGGCGCATTGGTGCCCGACGCCTACAGAACTTTCCTGTCCGAATCTTAATACCCCGTCGCAACTTGATCCCCGCGCCGAACGCAAATTCGGGCCCTCTGATGGAAAGACGGGCAGATCGGGAGCTCCCCTCTGTGCAAACAGAGCGACGATGGTTGCGGACGCTGCCAATCTTCGCCGTGGTTGTGGGTGCAGCAATGCTGGGCATTTTCAACTACCAGAAATCTTCATCGAGTGTGGTCAACAGTACATTATACGCGCTAAGGACATCGCCGCGTGCCCGGGAGATTCTGGGTGATGAGATCTATTTCGCACAACAGATGCCTTGGATCAGTGGGGAGATGAACCAGCTACATGGACGTATCGACATCTCGTTCTGGGTCAAGGGGACAAAAGCTCAAGGCAAAATGAGGTTCCGCAGCATTCGGCCGGATCGGATGAGTTTTGTACGTCTTCCTTCATCATTATCTGCTTTTTTCGCGCTTCAGTGGCACAAAACCATTCAAACGTCTTTGCTAACCAACATTCTTGTCCTACTAGTTCCGTACCGAGGAGTGGAGTTTGCAATTGGAAGATGGGACACTAGTACAACTATTGGAGGGCGACGGCGACCCATTCAACAAAACTGAGTGAAAAGCAGAGCCATTGAGTTGTCGCTTATGTGATATTTGCGAATCTTGTACAGCTAGGCGTTTTGCATTGGGTCGGGCGTTCTTGGGAGGGTCCGAAAGCCATCGGTACTTATGATTATCTGAAAGAAGGGAAACAATCAAAACGCGAAATCAAGAAACGATGAATAGCTGAAAGTCATCACGACAGGGCATGGCTGGACCGAAACAATCAGAAAGAGGATATCATTCATGTATCATATACAGACGCCGCTCTAGTAACCAGTAGAGTTGTAATAGTACATTCCCAAATATTTTTGCAAGACGTGAAACATTATGCAGACTCCTCTGTTGCTGCTGGCACCTCAGGCCAAGGCTTCTTGATTGCATCTTGTATCCTGACCATGCATCCCTTAGGACCACTGACAGCACCTGAACAAAACCAATTAGCAATCTACTTGGTCGAAAATAACCCGGGGAGAGGGTAGTGGGGAGAAAAAGCATACCTGTAACAACAACAATGCCGTTCACCGCATCAACCTTCAGAATCTTCAAATTCTGCACTGTGTTCTGCTCATTACCCATATTCCCTGCCATCTTCTTGCCGGGATACACTCTGGAACCACCACCCTGACCGGGACCCGCAGAACCGAGCGAACGATGCGTTAAACTAACACCGTGACTGCGATCCTGACCACCGAACCCATGTCTCTTCATCACACCCGTAAAACCTTTACCTTTGGTATTTGAGCGCGCATCAATATATTGACCCTCCTGGAACCAGTCGGCATTAATCATGTGGCCCACAGGAGGAAGACCGCTCTCATCCTTAACCCGGAACTCGTAGACATGTCTCTTTGGCGAGAGCCCCTGGGCGGAGAAGTGGCCCAGGAGCGATTTTGTCATGTTGCTTGGATGCTTCCAGCCAGCGCCGACCTGGACAGCATAGTAACCATGCTTCTCTCGTGTCTTATGCGAGACCACTTCTACCCGGTCGAGTTGGAGGACGGTGCACGGAATGCGGGTCCCGGTTTGTGCGTCGTAGATGCCGGTCATTCCCTTCTTGATGGCAACGGCGCCACTTCGGAGGGGCAGGGTATAAGCCTTGCGCTCGAGAGCCGCCGCAGGCGTCGACTTTAGTATCGGCAAGTCGGGACTAACATTGAATCGGCTAGGTTTGGGGGTGGTCACGGATTTGATTCCAAATGTCCGAACCGGCATATAATGGCAAGCGGTGGTGGTGTGTAGCGTTTGAGGAGCCCAGAGGGCCAGAGGAAGCTGTGACAGCCCTCTGGATAAACACAATGACATGGCGGAATGGGATGAGAGCAGCGGACTGGGGTAATTCCAATAGAGGATCTAATTCCACTCCGTTGGTGAGATTTTCAGAACTACTGCGGCGGTGGTTGTCTTAGTCATCATACCTTATGTTAACTAACTATAGAATATGTACCTCAAAACTCTCGTTCCTTTTTAGAAATAATTACATACTGCTGAGTGATTGCTTGATTATAGTGATATATATGCCAAAATATCAAATTTACAATTGAAGATACACCCTCGCCTTTCCAGGCTTGGAACGGCAGTGTCCATTCCACCTCGTAATCGGCGAGGTCGGCACGCCGAACCACCGAAAGAAACGGATTTCTTTCGAAAGCTCCCTTCATTTCCTCTTCTCGATCACAACATCAGCTCAAGATCACTGCAGATTTTTTTTTTTTTTTTTTTTTTTTTTTTTGAAAAGCTGATAGTTGTATCCTCTCATTCAGCTGAGTATTGGAACTTTCTACCGTCCTTGCACCGACGTCCCAGCACCACAATAAAAGAAAGGGAAAAAAGAGGATCTGATTTCCGCCCCCGCGAGCTCCGGAAAAATAGTGCATATATATAAACACACCTCATAATTAGAATGTCTCTACGGCATCCATTGCTATCACGATGGGTAGTATCCCCGACGCAATTCCTCCAAAGCGCATCGGCACTGAAATCCTCACCGTCTGTGTCTCAATCGCTCTTCATGCGGCTCCGGCCCATGGGTCTCTCCGGTTCTCCTTCCCTTCCGTCGACTTCGCTTAGCCGTTTCTTTTCTCTCGGACGATCGTTTCAGCTCCAAGGGAGGCCCCTTGGTCGAATGAATGGCAGACCCCGGGTAGAACATACTAGGCAGCGACAACAACGACGGGGGTTCAGTTCGTCCCGCCAAGCACCGGGATCTCTTTCACAAAAACTGCGCAAGCTGTCCCGTGAATACGGGTGGTCTGCCCTAGGTGTTTACTTGTTGTTGTCTGCCTTGGACTTCCCCTTCTGTTTTGCGGCAGTGCGTCTTCTTGGAGCCGACCGGATTGGTCACTACGAAGACGTTATCCTGCAGACAGTCGCGGACGGCATTCACGCCGTGTGGCCCAGTAAACAGGATGAAGAGTCTGATTCCGAGGAGGCTGGTGAGGAGAACAAAGTGAATACCGAGAAAACGGACGAGCAAACGAGTCAGGCTACTGCCAAGAAGAAGGCGGATCAAGCCAGTACGTGACAATCCCTCCAGTAAAGGAAGCTAAACCGTTGCTAACATGTCCATTTAGGCCTATGGACTCAGCTGGCTCTCGCTTACGCTATTCACAAGAGCCTCATCTTTATACGGGTGCCGTTGACCGCAGCAATCACGCCCAAGGTTGTCAAAGTTTTGAGGGCGTGGGGTGTTGACATTACAAGACGGAGGCCATGAAGGGCTTCAAAACCACCCATCCCACTATTTTGTCGGCTTTGGTGAACTGATAAGAGCATCAGTTTAGCCTAGCCTACGGTGTGCAAATATCAGATCCGTCCCTCCTCTTCCCTTTTTCTTTCCTTTTTGCACCTCGCGTTTTCCGTTTCTGGAGAATGGTTTTATGTTCTCGTCTTTCTCTTGCATGGCATGGCAATTTTTGAATAGATCATAGCTTCACGATTGTATATTAGCTGTTTACTAGCTGTTTAGACTAATTCCGGGGCGTAAATTCATGTCTCTTGGCTCTCAATTCTCAGTTTGGGTATTATCACGAATAACGTACACAACCTAAACACATCGCCCCATCTAATTGTATATAGCAATGGAATTTTAATCAAAACAGCAGCTTGTTCTGAACCCATGAACCGTGAGACAAG